TTTTACATTGTCGTGCGTTTTATCCATCTTCAAATTTTTTGACCGTTTCTATATATTTACGCTAATAATGCGTAGCCTAACAACAACATTTGTGTTTTTGACATAAATAAAATACTATTATTATCGTAATATTTTTTCGGTCGTTCATTCGTTTTTACTAAGTAATATTGGCCGGTATTCGCCGTTTTGTGATGAAACAAGTAAATTAATAATGCAGATTATTGTGGGGAGCTTTGTCATGGGGACACAGAACAATGGTTCTTTTTTGTGGCGAGGCAAGAAAAGGAAGTCCGAGGAGGAAGGCCTAGCCGGACCACGGCCTCCGGCTATTGGAAGGCCACCGGTTCACCAACTTACGTCTACTCGTCAGACGCTAGTAGTAATCATAGCAAGATTATTGGGGTTAAGAAAAGCATGGTCTTTTACAAGGGAAAAGCTCCGAATGGACGAAAAACCAAGTGGAAAATGAATGAGTATAGAGCCATTAAACATGATTTGCACACTTCTATTCCTGTGGTACATGCACCAATCTTTTTCTTTTTTTTTTTATAATTTTTTATTTTGGTATAATATAATGTTTTTGTAATGGTGACTTGCAGTTGAGGCATGAGTTGAGTTTATGCAGAGTTTATGTGGTCTCGGGGAGTTTTCGGGCATTCGATAGGCGCCCGACTCATCATGTACCACAAAGTTAACCTTTCTCATCTAAATTCAAGATTATTCAAGGACGAAAATGACAAAATTTGGCAATATTGGTTTTTGTACCGCAAATTAATTCGGGAGCACATCAAAGTTTGGCAATAAGTTGACAAGCTTTATCATTAGGCCCATCAACTTGGGACCACATCAAATATTGTCAACAAGATGACTTTTTCACTTTTGGTCCATTTTCATAAAAAAAAATGGTTAAAATTGATGATGTGTAGCTATTCTATTTTACTGTCATTTTTTTTCTCTATTTGTAATTGTAGAATGGATAACAAAAAATCTTATTTTACCTACTCATTGTAATTTGTTTAAATTGGCTTTAAATTGAGAGGGCCCGACTCATTGTCTTTTTTTTTTTCTTCTATTAAATATAGTGATGGTAGCTCACTCTAGCTATAAATACGTACGTAATAATTAAATCAACATATATATAATCATGGTATTTTTTTTTTAATCTTATTGTAATTTATCCCACACATATCAAGAAGTCAGAGCGGGAAAATGAAACACAAGTAAACGAAAAAGATCATTAAAAGAATAAAAAATCACAAAAAAGACAAGTAAAATAAAATTAGAAAAAAAAAATTGCTTTCTAAATTAAAAGCAAAATTCAAAGTATGCACAAGATAAAATAAAGCGAAAAATATTAGGCCATCGCCCATCAACTGCTATTTAACGTGTCTTTTTAGTACTCCCTCCATTAAGAAATATAAGGCATTTAAGGTTATTGCACAAATATTAAGGAGACATTAATTAATAAATAAATTGACTAAATTAACTTTATTTACTCTAATCACAATCACTCCACACTTCCTTAATTTCAACACAATGAGGGTATATTTGGAAAAAAATATAAAAATTTGTCTTAATTTTTGAACGCGCCTTATATTTCAAAAAAAATAAGAAATCTTTATATGCCTTATATTTTAAATGGAGTGAGTACTACCTTTTATGCTTTTTTATGCTTGAATTGCTGTACCTTTTCTAAAAAGTAACCACCGTGCTTGACTATTGGAGTGCATGTAATATATAAAAAGAATGAATTAGTTGAGTTGATTGTACTGTGCTAATTGAAATAATCGTCACTTTGGCATTTGTTCGTTGCACGTGCACCAAGAACATATGATTTGCCCAAACATGTCCAAGTAATAGAATTCATTCCCACTGTCTGAGGAAAACGTCTAAATTGATCAGCCATTATATCAACACTTTTCTACCCTTGGTCAATTTATTTAATATTTTTAAAACTTATTGGATTAAATCAATTACAAAATGTACTTATTCAAAATGGACTTCTTCAAAAATATTTATTTTTTATTTCTACAAAATTAACTTTTAAGAGAAACAACTTATTCAAAAGTTCATTATTAATTTAACACCAAACATGAATGTTTATCCAAATACACTTTTCATCTAAAAGTCCATTTCATATATGCTTTCAAACAAGTTGGTAATCTATTTGTAATGGTGTTTAGTTTCACTATTTATTTATTTTGGCTATTCAATTAATCAAAGAAACGATAAGGACTTATAATTAACTTGAAGCTCTTAGCTGTAGTCCATATATTTTTTGTGCGGTGATAACTAGACACCCATAATATTAGCACAGAGCAACGACCATAAAAGTCTAGATTACGAAATGGTCTTCAGTCTTCACGTTTTCTTTTGTTCTTTCCCTTCCCATTCTTTATGATAACAACTACGTGATTGTACGACCTGATGTCAAAGAGGCATATATGAATTATAGTTTAAACAATTAAAATGTTATTTATGAATTTGCACTATTGGATTCATCATGTCAACAATCATTATTAAGCCAAACTTTAATAATAACAGTCAAACATACGTTGACAATATAGTAAATAAGGGTTCATATTCAAATGTGTGATGTAAATACACACTAAGGATAATATATAGTCGTTATGCATAATTAATATCCACCCACTAACTCAGTGGGCCCTACCCTAAATCCACCAACCCTGCATCCCTCACAAACACACACACTTCATGACCACACACTGACACACATATCACACATACAAATACAACTTCGGCCCGATTCACCCGCGCCCACCGCCACAATCCCTGTAGACGTGACCATCCCCGTCGGCCACTGCCACCATCATCTGTCGTCGACACTCCATCTATGCCGAAGCTCCCTCTCCCAACGAACATCAGCCGCAAAAAATTTACAAAGCACGCCAATTGTCGGCCAACACTCTAATCCCATCTTCGCCACTTCATGCCCCCAACTCCATCGTCGTCATCGCGGTCTTCAGTGTCAATGTTGGTGGGAATCAAAATCTCGATAGCCAATTGTCCAGCGGACACGGATCATAGGCGGCAGCGTGACTGCAACATTGAGGGTGTGCAGGTATGCCGTCACGTCAGACAGCACTGTCGTCGTCTTCTCCCAGGGTGAGCCTCAACCCGTCCCTTTTGCTGGGTGGGCCGGGCCAGCCCGTGGGCTGTGGGCCAAATTGACAGCTCTTGGTAGAAATAACATAATTGATTTAATTTTTTGAAAAAAATAATTAATAGATTTAAATTAATTATTGATAAAAAAAATCTAAAATAAAAATAAAAGCCTCATCACGAATAGTAAAAATAATTACAAATCAGTTCAGTGTGTGAATTATAATGCAAAAGTTGACATTTTAACCGAATTTTTAGAGATTCCAGTCAACAGTGCCGACCATAAATGATTTACAAATTCCAAATCATATTTCTTAATAGATGAATACCCGTACATGTAGGACAAATTCAAAATTTAAACAACATTTTCAAAATAAGTAAGTCAAAGGCCTTAGACCAATTTTTTTAATCAATTTTCCACAAATGATTTTTCCATCAACTTTTTCAACATATATAGATTAAATAATACTAATGAATCATCTTTACACATCACATTTTATTTCACTGGTACCGCTACAACCCCCATCAATTTCTACTCCATGAACCTACTCCCTGACGTGTATTTAAAATAAATAGTCATATTAAAAGTCTTTAACCCCTCTTTATCTCTTAAGAAATTAAATTATATTTATATCTTATTAAAAGTCTTTAACCCCTCTATCTCTCTAGCCCTGTACCGTCCTTTCCTACAAATTTTTACTGTCTAACTTCTTCTCAGCCGCCATCACAGGATCAAAGTTCAAACAAACACCAAATGCACTACACTACAAGTTACAACAAACCCCAACAAATCGATCACTCTGTAATTAAAAAACACAAAGAAAAAGATCTATCTCCCAAACCCAAAATGATGTCCTCCACAACAATCCCGCGTCCCCACCGCCGACCATTAACGACACTCCTTTTCTCGGCGGTGCCACCCTCTTCCTGCACCGCGCCAGCAGCCGCAGCCGTGCGATGCGCGAGTCTTCTATCCACGTTCGCAAGCACTATGGTTTGTGATTCCTTATTTTGGAACCAATTTTATTTTGCAGCAAAAAAGAAGAGAGAACTCAATTTTAATAAATGTTTGAAAATTCTAAAATTTATGGGAGAACTAGAAGAAGAAAAATGGAGAGAAATAAGAGAAGAAGTATAGGGCAAAAAAATAAGATGATTTGGGGGAACTAGAACAGGAAAAATTGAGAGAGATAAAAATAAGTTGACACAAGAGATGAGAGAAGAAGTATAGTAGAGAGAGATAAAAATTGGTTGACACATGAGAGAGTACTCAATACGGTGGGAACTTGATGAGGCAAGAAACATTTTTATTATTTCACTATTCATCTACTCACATAATTTTAATCAACCATCACTTCTATGATCTCTCTCATACTTTACATCAAATTAACTTTAATTATTTATTTTAAATATTATTTTAACATAAATTAAATTCTTATTAACAACTAAATATATTATATTTTTTAAATTAACTATATCATATTTTTTAAAATTAATTACGATTAATAACAGAATTACTAAAAACTAATCAAATCCATATCCAATCACGAGTGGGACAAATATAAACCCAGTTCGAACATTTTAATTAGCTATGGTTAAGATTGAAATATGACTTTTTGCGTCAGATTTACTACTTCTGCCTACAGATATCGACATCATCACTTTGGTTTTTTGACGAGTGTTACAAACTTCTGAAAATTGAATTAATCGCTGTAATTATTTACTTGAACACCGAGGGCGATGGCGATTCTGTACGGGCTGGTGGCGCGTGGGACGACGGTTCTCGCGGAGTTCAGTGCCGTCACGGGAAATACGGGCGCTGTGGTCCGCCGGATACTGGAGAAGCTCTGCGATACTGAACCAGCCGAGTCGAGGCTGTGCTTCTCGCAGGATCGGTACATCTTTCACATCCTCCGGTCAGATGGATTTACTTTCCTCTGTATGGCCAACGATACCTTCGGACGTGAGCGTCTATTCCGACAAAGAATGCTTTTTATTATTTCCGCTTAGAATTTCGTTGAAGGGTTTTGGTTTTTGCGGTTTAGGGTTTACTGTGTTGTCTTGTGTGTTAGCTCACTCTATTGATGCTCTCTCTTGATTTGTTTATTTTGTGATTGTGTATATAAGTGCTGGCTTCACTTGTGTGGCAAATTGATTTGATTTCATGGAGTACCCAAATGGGGCTTTTTATTTATTTTTGGGTTGTGAGTGTGTATGATTGAAACTATATCTGGTTTGTTATAATTTAAGGTATACAGAAGGTCGAAGGTTCACAATTCGCATGTCCCTGATCTCCTCAGTACCCATCCTAAGTTCATACTAATACAATCATGAATTGGACTTCTTCTCAATCGAATCTTGATCTTTTAGTGGCTGTACATTGTGCTAGATGAATGTGACGTCCTGTATAATATGGACCTACAATGTTGTAATTTTTCCACTAGTGATCCTTACTGTATTAGATATGCATGAATTATGTGGTTCACTAATGCTGAAGCCTGCTCCCCATTTGCGAGGTTAGATGTTATTTTCGATGGGCTATTTCCTTTTCTGTGTGTTTATCTGTATTTTGTGTGCTCACTGCATATATATCATGTAGAATGATCTGGCATGGTTCCTATTTTGATGCTCCCTTACAGGAAGAATCCCATTCTCGTACTTGGAGGATATTCGAATGAGATTTATGAAGAATTATGGGAGAGTTGCTCATGTTGCACCTGCATATGCTATGAATGATGAATTTTCGAGAGTGTTGCATCAACAAATGGAGTTTTTTTCTAGTAATCCGAGTGCTGATACACTCAACCGTGTCCGAGGAGAAGTTAGTGAGGTAAGTTTTTGCATGCCACCATCTCTTGTTTGTCATCTTAAGATATGAAAATAAACTGTTAATTGAGATTCTGATATGTGCTTTAGTATTCAACTGCTGTGGCCCATGTCGTGAGCCTATTTCTGGAGAAGATCTTTGTCACGGGACTTATTATGATACCACTTTTGATTAGTAGATATAAATTGCATTCCAGTTGTAGGTTATGATGCATTTTTCTGGGCTGGATTTCCTGGAAATTTGATTAATTTATATTTGCTGTCCCCTTTTATCGTGGGAGTGAAAATGAGTCTTGTTTTCTGAATTCAACTATAGCTGTGCATGGGAAGCATTCTCTGTTTCTTATCAGATTTGTTTAGAAGTGTTTTTCTCAGATAAGGTGAAAAACTCTTTTGGCTCAAAAATTTGCAAGAATCTCTTCAGTTTATACCTAGAGTGTACTTGTCTTCTGCATAGATTTTTATAACAGCTGATTTTATTCGGCATCTTAAGAGATAAAGAGGTAATAAATTGGATCATAGGTTGAGTACCATGCCATGTAACATAATTTAGAATATTTTATTCAATAACTAGGTTGAGTACCATGCCATGTAATGTAATTTAGAGTTATTTTATTAAATACCTAACATAATGGAATGGTTATCTTTTTATTGTTTGTCTGACTTGTGTATGCGTCCAGCGAGCCCTTGACAATTTCGTCATCATTTTGCATTTTCGTGAGTGAAAAACTGAAACATGATGCAGGTACGTACAATAATGGTGGATAACATTGACAAGATACTTGAGAGAGGTGACAGGATTGAGCTTCTTGTTGATAAAACAGCAACCATGCAAGATAGTGCCTTTCACTTCAGGAAACAATCAAAGCGCCTTCGTCGAGCTCTGTGGATGAAAAATGCCAAGCTATTGTAAGTGTCATAGTGTTACATATGAGGTCAGATTCACTTATGAAATTTAGGTAGAGCACCTTTTGTGGGGATTATTAATTTTATCAAAGCAAAAAAAGCATCAGTTAAGTTTGTTACTTTCAAGAAGATATTAGTCCTTCATAGAATTTTAATTTAAAAGTGACAAAATAAAAAGATAAATCAAGAGGAAACATTGATGGGGCTTGTAGAATTTTTTTGCAACACTGGGAATATTTTTGCACTTCACTTTGAGAAAGTTAGACAAAGGACAATAGAATTTTGGCAAGCACACATTTTTCTCAATCTTATATTACCTTGAATGAGTATGTTTGAACTTTGCAATGAATAGGCTCTTTTATAATGTTAATTTCTATTCAATTTTTACTACGGTTGTTACAAATGTGAACCTGCTTTCTTACTTTACGACTAATTATTATAAATGGAAGAACCGAAACAAATGTTTGATGTCCTACTTTCTTGTGGTCCTTCTCTATGACAAAACTCTTTCTTTATTGTTCATCCGCAACAATTAGTTTTGGATTTATGAAACAGGCACATCCTTTAACTACTTTATATTTTTTATACATGATCATGGTCATTAGTCGATCAGGTAGCTTAGGAGCCACAAGTCGTGATTGTTCAGGGAATTTGTCGGTAGCCATGTGGACTATTCAATACTATTAGTTTGTAGGCAAGTCTTGAGGAGAAAAACATTTTTGATGATCACATCGAATGGATAGAAATATACAATCCAATTATTATATGAATAAATGATACTAGAAGATCTTCTTGATGCAATCCATGATTATAGCAACAAAATCATCCTAATTGAGTTGAAAGTATAATCCCTAGATTCTATGAATCGCATTTCATCTAGTCAAAGCCCTTTAAATATGGGCTTTATGCAATGATATCAAAGGCCATTTAAATCTATAGAATCTTCAACAAAAGATAACTGGTTTGTCTTTTCTTCTCTCTCTCTTTCTGCTGTTTTAGTTAAATATAAAGATCTCTTGTTCTTTGGCGTAGTTGCTTAACTGCAGAATCAGATGCCTATCAAAATTGTAGAATGAGTGTTTAAAAACTGTCAGTTGATTGTGTTGATATTGCTTTTAAGCATTATAATATTTCTGGTTTGATCACAGGGCCGTGCTGACGTTATTGATTGTGTTACTTCTGTATTTCATAATTGCGGCTGCTTGTGGAGGCATTACTTTACCATCTTGTCGATCAAAATAGAATGATCTCTCGAAGCATCCTTTGGCGATGCTTCCCTCTGGAAAGGCAATGATGGCGTTTAATCAATTATGCATTTAATCATATTACTCTTCCCTTTGTTTGAATCCTATTTTGGTTGTGTGGTGTATGTGGGAATTTGTTGCTGTGGCCTGTGGGGAGAACGTAATGAAGGATTCTACATGTTTGTGAATATGAATTTTTCTTCTTGATTTGGAATTACAATTTGGGAAAATGGCAAAAAAATTGAGCACTGTTGAATAGGTGATCGTGTCTTTAGTTATATCAATAACTTCATTTATGTAATAGCTATTACCTCTTAACAACGAAGAAAGAAAAAATGAGAAATAAAGAGGAGCAGTGGACGGGAGAGGATGTGCAAGCTGTACGACTGGGTTTGTTTATCTGTGTAGAGCTTTGTCTTTTGAATTGATATATATATATGTTGAATTCATGTTGATTTTTTCAAGAGTTTTGTTGTTTTCAATTTGTCTGGAGTTAAAAACTTGCTCCAGGAGCATTGTTTCAGAGCGGTTTTGTGGAGCAACCAACGGCCGTGAAATCCGAGTCATCCACAGCATAATCTTGACTGAGTTTGACCTGGACAAGATGGTCCTTTCCTTATGGACTACGTCGACTTCCACAAGACGAACTTGCTGCATTTACAGCTCCTGTTCTTTTTGTACGCATTGCCCAAACTTTATCTTTTTGAAGACATCCCTCATCATCAGCCGTTCATGTCCCAAGAAATTGATAGTAGACGCTAGTATTATACACAAAATCAGTTCTAGATTAAGTATAGATGATAATACCGAAGTACCTTGCATTAAGTAATGAATTTAATATAAATTAGTAGCTTATATTAGGAGACAAGTCACGCTCATTTATATTTTTAATTAAAATTAATTGTTATTGATTAATAAAACTATGTGTTAATTCAGATAACGGATCGAGCTGATATATTATTACACAACTCTAAAGAAATGTTAGGATTAGTTCCATATAGTATATCTCCAAGAATTTACGTTAATTCAAAAAGTAAATAACTGCAGTTTCCAAAATCTAATATATCAAAATTAAAAATTCAAATCAAGTTGAAATAAGAATGAGGTACAATAATAGAAATAAAAATAATTGTAGATCATTGGATTTATCATATTAATGGTCATGATAAAGTTAAAAATTTAATAAATAATGGTCAAATATGTAGTAATAATATGGTAAATAAGTGAACAAGTTTGGGTTAAATGTATACATTTGACTGCTCATTAAAGGTAAATTAGTCATTACAAACAACTAGTATTCGATCTGAGTAAATTATAATTTTAGTCTTGTATGTTCCATTACTTTAACTTTTTTGTCCTCTTCGAATTGTGCTTTTAATTTTCGTCCCGTATGTTTGCAAAAAGGTTACAAAAAGGTCTTTTTCATACATAAGGGACGAAATTGGAACCTTTTTTTGCAAAACATAAGGGACCTTTTTGTTGCGAAAATAACCTTTTTGTAACCTTTTAGCAATCATATGGGACGAAAATAAAAAACGCAATTCGAAGAGAACGAAAAAGTTAAGGTAGTAAAACATAGAGGACTAAAATTGCATTTTACTCGTTCGATCCAGTGCACATGCGTTTAAATTATTATAAGTTATATGCATGTATATAATATTAAAATTATAAGTTAGATAATAGTATCAGTGTATCACATTTAAATTTTTCGTCATTAATAAAAATAAACATTATAAAAGTATTCAACTTCATGACTATATTGATTACATAAAATGAAATGAATAAGGTAGTTTTTATATATTTGAAAGATCATGACCCGTCAATTATATTAAAAAGTATTATTATTAATAGAAGTTTAATAGGTTTGGTTTACCACTAAAAACAATTAGCTTATTAAAAAAATATATTTAAGAGCAATAAATAATTTAAGAAAAAATAAGTTTCAATATATTTTTTTTATACTTATTCAACTTTCATATATCATTTCGTGTGAATTATAATTGGTTAATTTTAGTAATAACTATTATATAATAGAATAATTAAAAGCAAGATTATACTTTAATTAACTATTATATTAAAAAAAGTAATTGATTAAGTTTCAGTTACTAATTTAAAAAATTATTGGGTTGTAATGGAAAAAGGTGAAAAATCTAAATAGTTTTATTAAATTTTTTGTTGGCAATTATACATATAGATAGATCGATAGATAGATAGATAGAGAGAGAGAGAGAGAGAGAGATAGGTATATTAAATATTCATTGATTAGTGAGTTGTTTAAGATTTTTATTAAAAGAAAAAAAAAATAAAGTAAATATGCTTTTGTAACATATTTTGGAGGAAAAATACATTAGGTTTTATTAATTGTTTTGCTCGGAATTATATATATAGAAATATAGATTCCAGCTCACCAAGTGGGCCCTACCCAACCCATCAATCCTATTATCTCTCTCTCTCTCTCCATGACACACACAAACACACACACACACACACACACACACACACACACACAAAACACATACTTCAGCACACACAAACACAAACGGCTGCGACACCAGCATGTCACGCCTCCGCCGTCCGCCACCAGAGACGGTTGCGACGTAGGAGGCTCCATAAAACAAACCGCCATTAGCACGGCTGCTCGACAACACGCCGTCGCCTATGTCCGCCACTTTGGGCCATGAAATCTGCCTCCGTTTGGCTCGGCCTGCGAAAAATAGTAAGAGTAATAGCGATATATTGAGTCCGACTTAAGAAATATATTGTACTGAGAGTAATGGTGTAGCATTTAATCTTGAGCATGTATCGAGAAACCTTAGAGCATGTTTGTTTATAGAAATTTTTTTGTTTTGTTTGGAATTTTTGATTTTGTTTGGTCAATTTTGAAAAAGGTGGTATGGTTAGTTGTTAGTGAATATATTAAAATAATATTTAAGATAAAATAATTGAAGTTGATTTAATGTAAAAGTAGGAGAGAGATGATTTGAAGTGATGGTTAGTTAAAATAATGTGAGTAGATGAATAGTGAATTAAGATTGATGTGATGTGTATGAATGATTGATTGATATTTTATAATTATATTGGTAATATTGATGATACTGAGGTTGAGTTAAAGGTGGGTTAAAAAAAATGGTTGAGTTAACATGTTGAAAATTTTTAAAAAATTTCTTATAAACAAACATGCTCTTAAAGATCGTACCATGTACACTCCATATTCTTCTAATGATTTTTTTGTTGAGAGAAAAAAGACAAAAATTGATGAGTCTGGTGCCAATAATACTTCATCAAAGGGGATGCGAGCACTGACATAGATGAACCTGATGAAGTGACTCGCCCAATTGGACATAAAGCAACTAAACGAAAGGCCAAGGACAAAGACAAATCTAACCTTGATGAGATGGTCACAGAATATAACAACATGATTAAGCATCTTGTCGAGTTAACAAGCTTGAAAAAAACAAAAGTTGAAGTAAAAAATGTTGCTCTTGAGGAGATGAAGCAGAGAAATTGTCGAAAAGACTATGAAATTTTACTGAAAGACACAAATTTTATTGACGCCAGAACAAAGTATTTCTCATGATAAAAATGTGTCAAGTAATTCGAGAGAAATAAAACTTGTAGACTATATATCATCTATTTTAGTTATCTTTGTATTTCTGTATGTTGTGATTTGGGAAGTTTATTTAGCGTGTATTTCCTTTAAGTTGTTCTTGTTGGTCATGTGAATGTCATAANNGAAGAAAAAAAAAAAAAAAAAAAAAATCATTCCTACCATCCAGTATTAGAAAAAGACATAAATGTCATGACAATCCATGGAATGTATTGTCTATTTGAACAACATGGCATGCAGACCAAAATAAATATGTTAGAGAATACGATACTGGCTATGATATGTTTATCAATCGGCTAACACAAATAAATATGTCATACCGCAAGGCATGTGCACAATTATCAATTTGATAACTCAATTCATTGAATCAAAATCACGCGGTGTGGGCAATGACAATAATGTTGTTTGAAGATAAGATATAGACTAAGATAAGGCATGGGCTATGACACGTTTATCAATTTGACAATTATATGAATAATATTGTTAATAATCATATATGTAGAGGACTATATATTCAAAACATGAATCTAACATTTTTTTCTTGAATTAAAAATCACAACAACAAAAGTTTGAAATTCAATTAGAGCCCCCAAAAAACTATCTCAATACTTATCTAGATTAGAATCTAATTCATCATCAACTACCGACAGTGAAGATGGTGCGGACACAAACAATTTAGAAATTGCAAAGGTATCATCCATCGTTCAACGAAGTCACGAGTTACTTCAAGCATATCAACACGAAATTAAAATTTGTAAAGAATGTTCATCCAAAGAAATCGTGAAGTCGGGCATGACAGACTCGTAAGTGATTATTTCTCTGAGCATAGTCTACCCGGATAACATATTCTTTAGACGTTTTTGTATGCGAAGAGAATTATTTCTACAAATTGTGAATGCACTTCAGACATGATCATCATATTTCCAGCAAAACATTGATGCATCAAAAAGAAAGAGTTTGTCACCACTTAAAAAATGCACGACATCCATTCGTCAGATGGCTTACGGAGTATCAGCTGACCACCTTGATGAATATTTACATATGGGTGAGTCAACTACAATTAAATGACTTTCTATTTATCTCTATCTAAATTATTTTTAGATTTTTGCCACGAGATTCATGGGCTTCTTCATGGGTATTTCTATTGTGGTGTGTTGTTACATACACCACTATAGTTACCATTTGGAGGACATATATTGTCGAGTGGATATGTGTGGGATCCACCATTGTAGCATTTGTAGCGCCGTTGAGCAGTCTAGTGAGTATAATCCAAACAAAAAATAAAATAAAATTAAATATTATATATCGTTATTCAAACTTTTAATTATTTTTTCCCCGCAGCCTCGAGTATTTCGAGAGAGAGATGTTGGGGATATGTCATGTTTTTTTGGCATTGTCCTTAACTATGAGTGGTGCATTCTGGTTTGGATATGCGTTGCTTACTCACGATTTATGTGTAGCAGTAATTTAGAATTAACTTATTTAAAATTAATTCAAAAAATATTATAGTAGTTTTATTATGAATCTATTTGTGCTCAAATGGCATTGGAGTGGTGCTAGGTGCATCCCAGATGGTGATATATGTAGTTTTCAAACGACCATTCTATTTTCAAGCTGATTTCTTTGACCTTCATAGCATAATAGGTAAGTTGTGAATCTAACAAGTGTATTATTTAAATTTACGTAATTATTATTAACTCTTTTCAAATTAGTGCACCGTGCGTGTGTATTATGGTGAACTGTGACAGCTTACAATGTAAATGGTTATGTTTTTACATCTATTTTAGAGATGTTAAAGTGGCTATTCGATATTTGTTGGGGATGATATCATTGATAAAGTAAAAAAAAAAGAAGAAGAAGAAGATAAATATTAGTTGAAGAAGAAATAATAGAACTATGAGTAAGTGTGGTTTATTTAAACATTAAACTAGTCATCTCAGTTCCGTTATATTATATGGTCGTCATCTGCACAGTTAGCTTAACTAGCGAAGTGCACGTGCGATGCACGTGAATCGCACGTGATACATAATTTGAATTTTCATGTGATTTTAAATTATATTGTCCCTATTATATTTTTATGGTATATTCAATTTTTTGTAGTGTTATTTATAATTAATCAAACAAAATAATTTCATTACATAATGAATGTGTCAAACATATTACAATTTTCAAATAATAATAAAAGACTGCAAGAATTTTTTTGTTGAAAACCCTTCATTATGTTGAAGAAGATTGAAAAATATGCATACTAAAACTAAATTGAAATATTTTACAAGAATAATTACATATGATAGTTTACAATTTTGTCTTCTTATTCTTTGTTGAAAAAGACCATTCTTTGCCATTATTTTTATTGACTAAATATAACAATCTATATATATAATTGCTGGCAAGCTTCAATAAATTTTATTCAGCCAGCAATTAATAATAATATTAGTTCATTTAATAAAAATAGGTGTTCATTTAACAAAAAAATATGTTTATCATTTAATAAAAATATGTAACTTTCAGTTACACGATTTATTCTGACAGGTCCCATTTTCGATGAGGTTCATTTTTGTGACGCCTTTTTTATGTCCTGAAATTCAATTATAATGTTAATATAATTACAAAAAATCAGTTACACGATTTATTTTGACATGTCCCATTTTTGGATGGTGTCAATTTCTTTTTTAATTATATTGTTAATTTTTAATAATGATCATAATTATAAAATGTGATATACTCATTATATAACTTATAATTTAAATATAATATTTTACTTGCGTTTGTGAATGTGCACATGATCGAATACTAGTCATTATCTAATATTCATTCTTTTTTTTTGTGTTATATATACGTTGTAGGTTGTTAAATTATTATTATACATAGGTGTTTTATATTTTTGGTTTGTGATATGGCCAACTCAGCTGATATATTGAGCTACATTGGTAAGAATTATAATTTCTAAAATATATTGTTTCTCCGTTGTATTTTCTTCTTTATTAATATACTAATTTATTTTTCTATAATTTGATTTATATCAGGTTTCTTCTTATCGGCTCTTGTGTACTTCTGTCCAGCGTAAGTAACTTTTATCTAGGGACGATCAAATTTGAACATTTACATGACAATTCTATTTTTCGTTGTCAAGATAATCATAGAAAGAAAGTTGGCGAGTGTTCATAAAATTCACTCTAATGACATAATTTGTAAATTGTAACAATATTTGACAATTTCCCGTAAGGTATCTTATATAAAAAGAACAAGAAGCCTAACATTAAATCCATTACCACATATTCACAATCTATATTTGACAATAGTGTTACAAACAAGTAGGAACCAAACGAATTAAAAAAATCCAAGAAATATTTTATTACATTAATATATATGTAAATATATATGGGGCAGGCCGCAGAATCCAAAAAATCTAAATTCTTTAAATTATGATTATTTGTTGTTAGTCGTAAATGACATGAAAAGTTTAGGCTGTTAAGATATTAACACAAGTATACTTTTTAAAATAAAGTTAAAAATCTAAAATATTTTAAGTAAATGTGCCCATCATCATCAGCTATTATTCAACTGGATGTGTACGTCCTAGATTGTCACAACTCTAACATTGCCGAAAAAGTAAATGTACAATAGAAAACATTTACACAGCTGGTTGAGAGGAGGCGAGAAATATGACAATGGACAACAATGTCATATAATGTTAAAACAAGAGAAAAAAGTAATAAAATAAAAATATTATTTTTTCTTAATAAGTAATTCTGATAACAATAATTTGAGGCGATATAGTTATATAGAACACATGATGATTGGGCACTATATAACTCCAAATTAGGTTTTGTATTATATTAGCTTCTTCAAGCATACTCCCAAGTTATCTTTCAAGTACAAACAATATTTAAATGTTTTAGACATTTTTTTAAGTCTATATATATATATATATATATATATATATATAAGAATAACAATTTACTAAAAATAGCAGTAAAAGATTTTAGAAGCATTTAATGCATACATTTTTTAGAAATTTTTTAAATATATGCATTGTTGTCATATACAGGTTTTCAAATAAGATCAAATCAGATATGATAAAAAATAATGTTTTCATAATTAATTGTATTAATATCTGCAATAATTTCATTGATATTCATTATAATAAATTACAAGACTGATTTTCCGTGAATCATGTTGATAATATTTTGGCCAAGATAAATATTACAACATATTTTAAGTTATACCCGTAATATTAATTTTTTTCATAAATATTCACTTTTTATCCGAAAATATTTATAGAAAATCGTAACATGTTAGGTGTAATTTTTTCTTCCAATTAATCAGGTGAAATCAAGTTGGTGAATTAATCTTTGCCAAAATAATTTTTTCTTATGCTTTATTTCGTTATATATAAAAAATAAATTATTCTTCAAATGAATATAATTTACAATTTAAGAGATAATGAAGAGAGAAAAAACTTAAGTAAAATTTCTTTTCTTCTCCATCAAAAATCCCCTTTCTTCTTCGAAACCCTAGATCCGGCGCCGGCGTTTTGCGCCTCTCTCGGCGTCAATTCGATTAGCCGGTGGAATGCTCTCCGCCGAGCGTCCACGCCATTAACGCGGCACCTCTTCTTTCCGCCTCTTTGGCCGATGGGTGAGGATGGAGAATTCAGGTGGATTTCGCAGCTCCCCGCTCGAAGACGCCGGAGCTCCGGGTGGAGAGGCTGGGTGGAGAGTGTCGCCGATGACTGGACGCGGCTCAAGACGCTATGTCCTTGTCCAAGAGTATCCCTTTTCCAGCTATTGTGGACATCCTTAGTTCTCATCTTCGGCTCTTTGGTCGCCGGCGCTCGGGTTTGGCAGCGGGAGGGCTGGGGGTTGTCTTCAGGGGTTGGGTGGGGAGCTCGAGTTCGTGCTCTGTTCTGGATGGGGCGTCTCTTCTCGCCGGGCTTGGAGGTCAGTCTGGTTGCGGGTATTCGGTTTATGCCGAGTCTGGTCGCTGGTCTCTCCTTGCGGGCTGGGTGGTTAGGCGGTTGTTTCTGGCTGGGTTCGTCCTTTCGGGCAGGGTTGGAGCGGCTGAGCGTTGACGCCGATCGTCCCCTTCCTCCTTCTTTCTTTGTTCCTGAGATCGTGGGAGGCCGATTATTCCCGGAGTTGGCTAGTGGTGATAGGCAGGTTCGGGGCGGTGTCGGATTGGCTAGTGGTGTTAGCCAGTGGGGGGTTGATTATGGTGTCTTGCGGTCGGTGAGTGGGTTGGTTCTTTCGGATTGTTCTGATGCTTGGGTAATCGTCTTGCTAGGCCTTATGCAGTGGCGGGCGGGATATCTGAACTTCGGAGCTCTTCTCGGAATCGGCTTTGTCTGCTGTCTTTCGGTTGGTTCAGCTGAGGGAGGCCGTGTTTTTTAGTTAGTAGGTTCTCTTATTGTGTTTAGTTTGTTCGTTCTCGTTTTGTGTTGTCTGTTTTTTAGGTTTGGGCCGTTGGCCCCGGTACACCCGAGTGTCATTTTCATTACCCTGTGGGGGTCCGACACTCGGGAATTACCCTGTGGGGGTCTTGTGTGTTGTGTTTAGTTGTTTTGGGTGTCTTTAGTTTCTAGAGTATTACCCCGTTGGGGTCCGGCTTTAGGCGGTCTCTTGACCTGTCCTCCCAGTTTTAGCTATTGGCTGCTTGTATTCAGTTGTTGACTGCTTGTAATTAGCCGTTGGCTGCTTTTTGCACAGTTGTGCGTAATAGATACTACNAGATAATGAACAGATATATTAAATAATTTTACTAATGGTCAAAATTAAAATTGAAATATATTAACTGTTCTTTAGATTTTATTTGATATTATTGGCAATCATGATTATTTTTTTGTGTCATTTTTTATTTGATTTAATTCTAAAATGAAATTCTTGTAAAATATATTTTCATTACAGAGTATGTTAAATAAACTATAAATCATTATAATGTAAATTAGAAAAATCTTGATTATAGAAGACTTTAAATTTTTGGCATTTGCTAAATCAAATTTGTTTAATTAGTATACAAAATTAAATTCTAAAAAACATATGTGTATATTTTGTAAAATATTTATACACTATTTAATTTTGAATTTATTTATATATTTTAGATTGATTATATAAATAAATAATAATAACGTGCATTAAATATTTTTCATTACATAAAAAAAATAAAAAGAAGACGTACAACTTCTATAATTTTTATAAATAATAATGACATTATACGACAACAAAGTTTATAATAAAATAATAATTAAGTATTATATGTTGAACAAAAATAGGTAAAACTGTTATTTTCTCTTATGTCAAGGAACAAATATATATACTAAAATTAAATTTATATTAGTATAAATATGTTAGCGAGATAATATATTAATGATTTTACAAACTAGCCTTAACATGCTCATATTTAATGTTTTGGCTAAAAATACAACGCTAATTAAAAGATGTGGAGAAAAGATAATAACCCTATTGTTTTTTACACTTAGCGCTGATTAAAAGAGCGTGGAAAATAGATGATAACCCTATTATTTGTTAGACTGAAACAGACAAAGTATGTGAAAATAATTCATTTAATAGTTCATTTATTATATTACGCTTAAAAGCTTGTTTTTCTTGTAGGCCTACATTCTATGGGCTTCATAAGCGCCGTACGCCTATCGAGAGGTGTTCTCCGATAGCGTACACACTAGCCCTTTTTTCAGCATCACTTTGGTCGTATTACGTCTACATCAATTTAAAATGGACGGTGTTAAGAATTAACGCACTGAGATGTGTGTTAGGAATTAACGCACTGGGATGTCTCTATACATATATTATGCAGCCTATGATGCTCGGGTAAGTATTAATATATACTTTAAAAAATGTTTGTCATGAATTTCTATATCATCAGTTATTTATCTCTTAAATTATTTTTAGATTTTTGCCGCGAGATTCACGGGCTTCTTCATAGATATTTTATGTGGTGTGTTGTTACATACACCCCTATAGTTACCATTTGGAGACATATATTGTCGAGTGGATACAAACAAAAAAATAAAATTAAAATCCACCATTCTAGCATTTGCAGCGCCGTTGAGCAGTCTAGTGAGTACAATACAAACAAAAAAATAAAATTAAATATTATATTTCGTTATTCAAACTTTCAATTATTTTTTTCCCGCAGCCTCGAGTATTCCGAGAGAGAGATGTTGGGGATATGTCATGTTTTTTGGCATTGTCCTTAACTATGAGCGGTGCATTCTGGTTTGGATATGCGTTGCTTACTCACGATTTATGTGTAGCAGTAAGTTAGAATTAACTTATTTAAAATTAATTCAAAAAATATTATAATAATTTTATTATGAATCTATTTGTGTTACTATTTTTCTTCAATAGATCTCAAATGGCATTGGAGCGGTGCAAGATACATCTCAGATGGTGATATATATAGTTTTCAAAAGACCATGTTGTTTTCAAGCTCATTTCTTTGACCTTCATAGCATAATATGTAAGTTGTGAATCTAAAAAATGTATTATTAAAATTTACGTAATTCTTATTCACTCTTTTCAAATTAGTGCACCGTGTGTTTTATGGTGAACTGTGACAGCTTACATTGTAAATGGTTATGTTTTTAAATCTATTTTAGAGATGTTAAAGTGGCTGTATATTTGTAGGGGATGATATCATTGATAAAGNAATGGAAGGTAAGTAGAAAAAAAAAAAAAAGAAAAAAAAAGAAGAAGAATAAATATTAGTTGAAGAAGAAATAATAGAACTATGAGTAAGTGTGGTTTGTTTAAACATTAAACTAGTCATCTCAGTTCCATTATATTATATGATCGTAATCTGCACAGTTAACTTAACTAGTGAAGTGCACGTGCGATGCACGTGAATTGCACATGATACATGATTTGAATTTTCATGTGATTTTAAATTAAATTGTCTCTTTTATATTTTTATGGTCTATTCAATTTTTTGTAGTATTATTTATAATTAATCAAACAAAAGAGCTCATTACATAATGAATGTGTCAAACATATTACAATTTTCCAATAATAATAAAAGTCTGCAAGAAATTTTCTGCTGAAAACCCTTCATCATCGAAATCATTGTAGTTTGAAGAAGATTGAAAAATATGCATAGTAAAACTAAATTGAAATCTTTTACAAGAATAATTACATGTGACAGTTTACAATTTTGTCTTCTTATTCTTTGTTGAAAAATGTCTGGACAGTGGACACTCAGTCCTTTATTTCCCTTATTTTTTTTTTTCGTATAGAGTGCAAATTATTAATTAATTCCTATTGTTTAAAATGTTTGGACACTATCAAGCCTTCATTTTTTTTAATTCTTTTGTGTGAAGTATGGTGATACCCAATTTGGCTCCGACTAAATAAATGATAAATAAAATAATAAAGGACGGCCCAGTAACTGAGGAGCCGAAAATACATCATAAATAGTGTACAAAACAGATTCTCAAGACTAATCACCCGAAACCCGACCGGATCCTCCAATACCGAGTTCGTCGCTGCCGAGCCGGACAGAGTTTAAAGTAATCGGATGGCCCACATATCATGAAGAAGCCGTCTTCGAGAAATGCAGCAATTGGCGAGAAGACCAACGTCAATTAGAATCGTCAAAAGTCATAAGCAGGTCCCACGACGATTATTTTCCATTAAAATAATGGTGTACTATTTTTTATTTACTAACCCACTTGCACTTAAGATGGGAAAATATATGAAAAAAAAGAGGAGAGAGAGAGGGGGATTCATTAATTGTTTCCTTCTCCTCCCAACAACACAAGAAATAGAGAGGATAACTCTCTATAAGAGAAATGAGAGAAAGTACATATTTTATGTACTGCCGAGGTAAGCTGCCACGTAATTATGTACAGGTCGGGCTCAGTACGATGACCCGGACGGCACAAGCCGGGCTTAGTACGATGAGCCCGGTCAGGCAAAAAATGCCACCGAGTCTGAACGCGAGACCGGTCAGGTAAAATGCGTCACCGCAATTAGTGCAATAAAATGTACAGGCCGGGCTCGACAAGCAGCCCGGTCAGGCCAAACCGTCACCGAGTCCAACATGTGGCTCGGTCAGGCCGAAAGACTAAACATTGTAATCACCAGTACAATCGATTGCACAAACCGGACTCAACAAAGGGGCCCGGTCATGCCGAGATGCCGTAAAACTAAAGGCCAACGAGCCATGAGGCCGAAGTGCCCTGAAACTAAAAACCGAACTCCAAAAATAGTTCGGCCCAACAAAATATGTGACAAAGTGGTCTCATTCATCATACATTCATGCAATCGTCATATGATCATATTATGCATACCATCATGTAAGAAACATAGAGCTCAGAGCTCAATCAAACAAAGAGCTCAGAACTCACTCAGACAAAGAGCTCTGAGCTCGCTCATGTCGACAATTCGAAATGCATTCCCACATAAAAATGGGTACCAAATTACCAGACCAGGCCGTTCAGGCCTCATCCAATAGCATTTTAGAAAAGATTTCCCATTCTCTCAAATTGACTCAACTCGTCAAAAATTAAAGCGTGATTATCATAAATCCATCAAGTCAAAGCCTAAAACGATCAACAAAACGCTCTAGGGTCCCAAAGTGCCCGAAAATTACATAATGACTCGTGATAAAAGTAGCATCTCTCGCCAAAAAATCCTCAAAGTGACTTTCACGAGAGAAAATAATGAGCAGAAAACGACAAAACAACGATATGAGTAACCAAAGTTACTCGATAAAGATTAAATAAGTCAATGAGGCACAAAAAGTGAAAAGCCACGTGATAGAGCCAATCAAGGAAAAGTGGCAAGATAAAAAGTGATCTCGTGAATCATGCAAAAATTATTCAAACGCGCGTACTCGTCAGCATATTTATGACTTCACCAATGATACTCGTTACATAAATATTCTTACGCAATTTAAAGAGCTCGAAGCTCAAAAGATCGTGAGGTGAAAACATTGCCAAATTGTAGAGAATAACACGACTTCAGAACCATTGTTCTAGAAACCGGACCGGACCGGCCGGTTCAACCGGTTGGACCGGGAACCGGCCTTCATTCCGGTCCGGTTTGGACCATCAAACCGCCCAGCGTTTGAACCGGTCAAAAACTGTTCGAACCGGTCTAAAACCGGTTCAACCGGTGAACCAGGACCGGTCCGAATGGTTCAACGGTTCAAGGTTTTGAATTTTGAATTGGTTGATTGTGAAGTGATTTAAATAGCACATCTTTTTTACTTGTGGTTCCAATGTGGAATATGTTCCTTTGATAAAATTATTGGGCCAATATTGAACCTTACAAATAATATTGTACTCATTAAAAAAAATGAACTATTTCTTAAATTGAACTATCAATTGGGCTATATCTATTCCCAAATTATAAAAAAAGAAATAAACAAATTATTGTTGTTTGTTATGTACATTATTTTTTTTAAGCAATAATAAAAAAATTGAAATGTGATTTAAAATGAAAATAGGATTGTTTCTGTTCTTTCTATTTTGTAACTTAAATATAGATTAAAATTTTTAATATAAAAAATAAAATAAAATAAAAAATATAAACATTAATCATCATTGTCGATTGTATCTAATATTGAGTTATTATTTAGAGAAATGTCATACACTATAAAATTAATAGAATTAACAATAAAAAATATATATAATTATATATTATACATATAAAATAAATAAAAAATTATATATTAATTAAACCGGTTCGACCACTGGTTCGACCACTGAACCATTGAACCAGTAGCTTCACCGGTTCGATAACCGGTCCGGTTTTCAGAACAATGTTCAGAACAGTTCAACCCAGAACATGTCTTAAACTCGGGGGCCTCCTGTTGATACCCGATTTGGCTCCGACTAAATAAATGATAAATAAAATAATAAAGGACGGCCCAATAACCGAGGAGCCGAAAATACATCATAAATATGTGTACAAAATAGATTCTCAAGACTAATCACCCGAAACCCGACCGAATACTCCAATACCGAGTTCGTCCGCTGCCGAGCCGGACAGAGTTTAAAGTAATCGGATGGCCCACATATCATGAAGAAGCCGTCTTCGAGAAATGCAACAATTGGCGAGAAGACCGACGTCAATTAGAATCGTCAAACGTCATAAGTAGGTCCCACGACGATTATTTCTCATTGAAATAATGATGTACTATTTTTTATTTACTAACCCACTTACACTTAAGATGGGAAAACATGTATATATATGAAAAAAGGAGGAGAGAAAGGGGGATTCATTCATTATTTCCTTCTCCTCCGAACAACACAAGAAATAGTGAGGAAAACTCTCTATAAAAGAAATGAGAGAAAGTACATATTTATCATTTTGTTCTTCAATTTCCTATGAGAAATTCGACTTATATTCTATAGTTGGTCGTCCGATTTTCGACATCAACAAAGTATAAAGTATTCAATTTTCCTATTTGTAAATAACAATATTATAACATGAAAATACGTTATTATTTATTTTAAATCTTTTATTTAGTTAATACTATACTCTTCATTTCAAATATTCAAGGTAAAAAAATTATATTTCTGCCATTATATCATTGTTTATTAATTTTTAATTTATTTAAATGTACAAATAATTATAATTTAAGGTATATAACCTAAAAAAATATATTTTAAAGTGTAGGGTCACGCTCTGGTGAGAATGGTTCTTAATGAAATAAATAAGAATACATCCGAACCATTACATCGAACAATCTAGTGACTAAAAAAATACAAATTTATCACACCAATTAAGGGTAAAACAGTAATTATAACATATCCAATAACACAACAAAAAATGTGGGCCCCACCAGCATTCACACCACCTCACCACATCTCATCTACGTCACTATCTCTCTCATTGTCTCACACACATACACATACTAACACACACAAACACACACAAGCCACACATACACATACTAACACACACAAACACACACAAGCACCTCTGCACCTGCGACAGGAAAACCAGG